TCTCTCCTCCTCCTCCTCCTCCTCCTCCTCCTCCTCCTCCTCCTCCTCCTCCTCCTCCTCCTCCTCCTCCTCCTCCTCCTCCTCCTCCTCCTCCTCCTCCTCCTCCTCCTCCTCCTCCTCCTCCTCCTCCTCCTCCTCTTCCTCCTCCTCCTCCTCTTCCTCCTCCTCTCTCATGATCTTTTCCTCCAGACATCATCGATGTCGCAAGTGTGATCGCGGACAATCTTGGCGCTTCGATCGTCCACGTCTCCTGCTCCAGCATCCTTCTCTACCGCCCAGCCCCCGGCATCCAAGACGCAATCATCATCCCGTACTTCCTCCTTCTTCTTCCCTTCTTGCCCCCAACGCTTCCTCCTGTATCCCCTCTCTCACTCCCTCACTCCCTAAATTCTCCCTCCCTCCCTCCTCTTATTTCTACCTTACTCCCTGATTCTCCCCTCCTCCCTCCCTCCTACTTTCATCCCTCCCTCCTTCGCTTCCTCGTTCCCTCCTTCTGTCCTCCACTAGTTCCTTACACCGCCCCTTCTCCCTTTCCTTCTTTCCTTTCCTCCTCTCGCTCTCCCTCACAGTGCGACAGGGAGGACGACGATTTCGAGCTGCCGGTGGAGCTTGCGGAGCTGACAGACATGAGCCGGGTGATCCAACTGGTGAGGAGGAGGAGGAGGAGGAGGAGAAGGAGGAGGAACCTTGACCGGACTTTGCAGAAGGACGACGAGGAAGAGGAGGAGCAGGAGGAGCAGGAAATTAAGGGGATGGGGCCATAGGAGGAGAAAGGGCTACAAGGAAATGTGAAGAACTCTTGAACGAACAAGTTGGGTGCAACGGGGCAGAGGAAGCGGAGGGGAGGGGAGGGAGTTGCAGGAATTTGTAGAGGAAGGAGATGTAATCGATCTACACGTCAAGGATTGTTCTCTGAATCGCAAAGTCTCTGGTGCTCGTTGCCACCTGCCTGGCACGTCATCCTCCTCCTCTGTTTCCCCTCCTCTTAACCCGCATCCTTCCTCCTCGTCGATCGCCCTCTCAACCACCACCACCACCGCAACCACCAACACCTCCTCATCATCCTCATCATCCTCATCATCGGCATCATCATCAACATCAGCAGCAGCAGCAGCAGCAGCAGCAGCAGCAGCAGCAGCAGCAGCAGCAGCAGCAGCAGCAGCAGCAGCAGCAGCAGCAGCAGCAGCAGCAGCAGCAGCATTAGCATCATCATCATCATCATCATCATCATCATCATCATCATCATCATCATCATCATCGTCATCATCGTCATCATCGTCATGCTCACCTCTCTCCTCGACTTCCCTCTCACCTCTATGGGTCGGAGTCTTGTCCTGCTTTCGAGATTCCCCTCATCCCAAGAAAACTCCAAAGTCTCAGAGATCGCCGAGCGAGCAGTCAAACTTCTCTCGTCCGTTGCCTCCTGCTCACAGCAGGACACTGTCAGATCAAGTTGGGGGGAGAGAAGGAGGAGGAAGGAGAGGGAGAAGAGGGAGAAAGAGGAGGAGGGTATAGGAAGGAGCAGGAGGGGAAATAGAAAGTAGTAGACCGTTTCGTCATGCATGCTACGGATGGAAGGGGTTGTGCGCTTGCGAACGCTGCAACCAGTCAGGGAGGGAGGAGAGGAGGAAAAAGATTAGAAGTGAGAAAGAGGATAAGAATAGTGAAAGAGGAGGAAGAGGAGGAAAAGAGGAAGAGAAATAGAAGAAAGAGGAGGAGCAGGAGGAGCAGGAGGAGCAGGAGGAGCAGGTCGTGGTGGTGGAGGAGGAGGTGGAGGAGGAGAGACAATTGAGACGGGCAAGGGGAAGAGGGAGGACCTGAAAGTTGTGTGAGAGTGTCGATGCTGAGCACTGCGGTGCTTGCTCTCCCACTCATACAACAGATCTCTTCCTCCTCCTCCTCCTCCTCCTC